CCTCCTTCACACACCTCCTCCTCCTCCTCCTTCACCATCTTCCTCCCTCCTTCACCACCTCCTCCTCCTTCACTCCTCCTCCTCCTTTCACCAACCTCCCCTCTCTTCACACCTCCTCCTCCTCCTTCTCTCCTCCTCCTCCTTCACCACCTCCCTCCTCTTTCACCACCTCCTCCCTCCTCCTCCTCCCTCCTCCTTCACCACCACCTCCTCCTCCTTCATCCTCCTCCTTCCTCCTCCTCCTCCTTCACCACCTCCTCCCTCTCCTTCACTCCACCTCTCCTCCTTCACTCCTCCTCCTCCTCCTTCACTCCTCTCCTTCCTCCTTCACCACCTCCTCTCTCTCCTCCTCCTCTCCTCCTCCTCCTCCTTCACACACCTCCTCCCTCTCCTCCTCTTTCACCACCTCCTCCTCCTCCTCCTTCAACCTTCCTCCTGCCTCCTCCTCCTTCACCACCTCCTCTCCTCCTCCTCCTTCCTCTTCCTCCTCCTCCTCCTCCTTCACCACCTCCTCCTCCTCCTTCTTCACCACCTCCTCCTCCTCCTTCTTCACCACCTCCTCCTCCTCCTTCTTCACCACCTCCTCCTCCCTCCTCCTCTCCCACCTCTCTCCTCCTCCTTCACCACCTCCTCCTCCTCCTCCTTCACCACCCTCCTCCTCCTCCTACCTTCACCCCTCCTCTCCTCCTCCTTCACACACCTCCTCCTCTCCTCCTTCTCCGTCCTCCTCCTGTCCACCTCCTCCTTGTCCTCCTTCACCACCTCTCCTCCTCCTCACCACCTCCTCCTCCTCCTCCTTCACCACCTCCTCCTCCTCCTCCTTCACGTTCAAACCTCCTCCTCCTCCTCACTTCTCCTCTCGCTGCCCCTCCTCACAGCTCCTCTTCACTTCCTCCTGCCTCCTCCTTCTCTCGTCCTTTCACTCATCTCTCCTCTTCTCCTTCCCACCCCTCCTTCCTCCTCCTTCGACCTCCTCCTCCTCCTTCACTCCTCACTCCTTCCTCGTCTTCTGCTTCGTCTCCTTCTCCTTCTCTCACTCCCTTCCTCCGTTTCTCTCCTTTGTATCTCCTCCTACCCTTCCCTCCTCCCCTATCCCTCCATCTCCTTTCTCTCCTTCCTCTTCTACTCTTTCTCTCCTTCCTCTCTCTCTTTCTCTCCTTCCTCTCTCTCTCTTCTCTCCTTCCTTCTCTCTCTCTCTTACTCTCTTTCCTCTCCTCTCTCTCTCTCTCTCTCTCTCTTTTCTCTACCCTTCCTCTCTCTCTCTTCTCTCCTCCTCCTTCTTCTCCTTTCTCTCTTCTCCTCCTTGCTTCTCCCCTCTTTCTTCCTTTCCCTCCTACTCCTCCTTCTTTTTCTCTCCTTCCTCCGTCCTTTTTTCTCCTTCTCCTCCCTCTCTCTTTCTCTCCTTTCTTCTCCTCGTCTCCTCTTTTCCCTCCTTCTTTCCTCCTAAGCCTGGACTCCTCCTCCCTCTTTATTTCTCCTGCCCCTCCTCCATCCTTTATTTCTCCTCCTCCAGTCCCTCCATCCGACGTCTTTATTGTCTCCATCCTCCTCCTGTCCCTTTATATGCTCCTCCCTTTATTTCTCCTCCTCCTCCTCCCTCCTTTATTTCTCCTCCTCCTCCTCCCATCTGCTTTATTTCTTCCTCCTCCCCTCCGTTTATGTTATCCCTCCTCCTCCTCCTCCCCCTTTATTTCTCTCCTCGCTCTCCTCCCTTAATTTCTCCCTCCTCCTCCTCCCCTGCCTTTAATTTCTCCTCTCCCCTCCTTTCATTTCTCGTCCGCCTCTGCTCCCTCCGAAACGCCTCCTCCCTTCCCTCGCCTCCCCCTTCTTCACCCTGCACCTCCCTAAGAACCTCCGCCTGCGATTTTCGTCTTCCTCGTTGTCGTGAAGGCGTACTCCTTTCAGGTTTATCGGAAGCTTCCGTACGGATCCTCTCTCAGTAAACTAGTCCGAATGTCCTTATACCTTAGTCTAATAACCTATAACCGGGATTCTCATTCTCGTCTTATCTCCTTTTTTTTTTCCTCTCAAACCTGGACATATCCAGTTCATAACCAGTAAACTTGAATATGCAATAGAGAAAAAAATATGAAGGTTTTATCCCGGAAGAAGAAAGTAAATGAGAATTAAAACGTGCTTGGGAAACGTTTTTGAGGTGAACAAGAACTCGGCGGTGTGAGGCGTAGCAGGCACGGAAGCACACGAATAACAGCTGATGTCTACGATACCTTAGTCTTGTTTTACTATCCGGGATCGATATATATATATATATATATATATATATATATATATATATATATATATAATAATATAATAATATAAATTTTTTTTTTTTTTTTTTTTTTTTTTTTTTTTTCTTATAAAAGAATTCGTCCTCTTGTATTGGACTCCCGTGTCGATAAATGTTAAAAACGTTTCATTTATATTGATCCTGAGAATTCCTCGATATCTGAAGACATGCCCTTGGATCGACATCTAGTATTTACCCCTTTGAATAACTAGGAGAGTAGGCCGCGACTTTGGTTCTAGAAAATGGGTCAAGGTGCAGTTGATGCGTCCGAAAGCCTGGCAGGAAGCCTAATGAATGAAGTACTTTAGCGGCATTTGGCCGAGTGGTCGCCCGCTTGCCTTTGGGATACCTCGCGCATTGGTTGCTGTGGCTACCAGTGTTGTTCAGTACTGCTGGGATTGTTGGAAGAAGCCAGCATCAGCATATTTGATACTGAGAATCTTGCGAAAAGGTTTTAGTGTCTGAAGCCGCTGACTATATCGGCTTTTGCTAGCAATAATGATGAATTGTAAAGTATAATCATCATTATTTTAGCAGTGCCAGCGCACCACACCCCCTCCCTCCCATTCCCTCGACACTCGCCTCTCCCCCTCCTCCTCCCGGCCGCAGATCCGCTTCAAACCAGTATGCGAGTGCCAGCTCAGAGCCCATGAAACTCCGGCTGGCACCCTCCACCTCCTTCCCAGGTCGATGAACGTCCTGTTTCATTGTCGTTACGACCATATTCAGTCGCCAGAGTCGTCGCTGCGAATGACTGGTCTCCGAAGTGGTAGAAGACAAGATTCACATTCAGGCTAAATGACTTATCTTAGGGAAGTCTGTCCATATCCCAGAGTCTTGGATATCCCAAAATGGTCGTCCTAAGGTGACAGGATCACATGATTCGCATGTAGGATAGATATTCCCTTTTACAATAGAAAACGCCCATCCGGTTACCTCTAGTATTTAAACAGGGCAAAAAGTGCCATGTCAGAGCTGTATTTTAGTTAAATCGAGTTTTCTTTTTGCATTGCTAGTACCCGTCGTAGCAACGGGCATCGCGTAGAAGACGTAAAATCAACAACACGCATTGCAGTAAAACCAGTGACGTCATCAGAATTTCCGCGAAAGGGGAAAGGAAAGGTTTTACTCTCGAGCGTGGCGTACTTCATCTCTTTCCTCTGTCTTCCATCAACCAACAGTGTCCTCTCTCCTTGGCTCAGTTTTTTTTCTTACATTTCCTATAACTTCTTGTCTTGGAAGTGGATTTTTTTTGCCATCTTGTCCTCGTTTTTTTCTCAGCGGTTGGTATTCCCTGGAGTTCCGTCATCTGTGATAACCGGGAGACCTGATTACCCGTGCCTTTTAGTGAGCTGAAATAAAGCTGGATTATCTGTTATCTAAAAGGACCACTTCACTTTATTTTTTCATTATTGTGTATATAACTAGCCAAAGGTGCCATGTCCTGAAGGGCCTATTACCCTCATCGAAGTACATCACGGCGAGATAAGACCTTGACATGGTTCCTCATTTGGCTATAAATCTTCAAGGAGATCCACAAGTTCTCAGTCTAGATAACTGCCTTCTATTTCTTTTGATGGGGCCTTGCAACTACCCAGGAGAACGTACGGTTAGGGTCGGGGGGTTTGAGTTGACAGGGCTTTGAAACAGAGGAGTATGGGTAAAACAAATAAAGAACTGTGAAATGAAAAGTTTTTTTATATCTACGTCTAGCTGCCACCAGGAACCAGGGGACATGACGACCTTCAATGGACACCGTAGGTCTAAAAATAACAGCACTCTCCGTAGTAGTGTTTTATGTCTGCTGTCGTTGGCACGGCTTTGCTACGTAGTATTCTTTCAATTGTCCAGCCTAAAGTGGGTTTGATTGAATCTAGCATTGATGTACTGGTAGCTAGAAATGCTGCGTAGAAGGGTGTATTAAAAAAATAGAAAATGTCCCTGAAGATGAAGTTTGAATGCGATGTGTTGTAACACTTGGCGCCAAGCCACCCTGGGGGAGGCTGTATGGAGAATGTTACACAAAGTCACGGTGACGCACACGAGAGAGAGAGAGAGAGAGAGAGAGAGAGAGAGAGAGAGAGAGAGAGAGAGAGAGAGAGAGAGAGAGAGAGAGAGAGAGAGAGAGGAGAGAGAGATGAGTATTAATACCACTCGATAAGCCGTCCGTGAAAATCGTCCACGTTTTCTTGCTGATTGGGCAAGGCCGGTCGTTGAGATTTAGGTACTTTAATCCGCGTCTAGTCAGACAGGCCGTTTTTTTTTTTTTTTTTTTTTTTTTTTTTTTTTTTTTTTTTTTTTTGCCAATTGAAGTACCTTTTTCATTATCTGTACTCTCGAGCTTCCTCGTACGTTCCACTTTCCTTGCCAAGGGTGTTGAGGTGAAGATCATTTTGTGATTTTGTCGACTTTGTGCTGGCTGATACCGAGTGACCGAGCCTTCATGTGACTTGACTAAATCCCACTTTTTTGGAGACGAAGCAGAAGTAAAAGAAAAGTATATTTTGACCCATTCCAGTCTGGTGACGAATTTACCTTCAGAACCGTGAATAAAGAATACCCAAGGGTTGTAGATAGCGGACGCACAGGGGTCATTGGGTATGATTTCAAAGCACAGGACGAGTTTCGAACCCGGCGCTTGGCTACCCTCCGCTGGCCTCCCATCAGTTATCTCTCTGCCAGGTATCGCAGATCGCCTATTTAATTGTATGTTGAATGTTTTCTGTAAAGGTCGTACCAGGAAAGAATGTTGCAGTCGAAACGGTTGTATGAGACGCAGTTTCTGTGCCGGCGGGTTTCACAGTTTCATTTGGGGAAACTACTATTTCGCACTCGCTTGTCCTGCAATTTCGTCTGAAAGGCTGTTCATGAATTTGCAAATTTGACATGCGTTGGAATAGAATGTTCTGATAGAAAAAACATATTTTGCTCAGGTAACAATTTCTCATGTAGGTATCTCAGGTTAAAAATTGATAGATATGAGCAAATTAGTGATAATGCGTACTTTCATTTTCCTTCCTATTTCTGTTTTAACGTTTTCTCTTCTAAACAGCCATTCTCGAGAAAGATGAGCTTTGTGTTATTTTACAGTGTAATTAAAGGGCCTAATGAGAGTTGCTATTTTTAGGCTCGGCGCCTAAGGATCCTCCTCGTACATGAAAACCGCTGATAATGCAAAGGCAAAAGAGCAAGGCTGAGTTGACAGAAAGGTCCCCGAAAAGTTGTTTATTCGCTTCTTGAATTGTGAGAGTTGGCTGTGTTTTCGTCGCCGAGCAGAGGATGATGTAAGGGGAAGGCCTTATGGGAGCGAAACTGTTTTGAAGTTTATTTATAGTGAACGGAAAGGCGGAGATAATAGACGTGCCTGCACCTGGCCTCACGTGTTTCTTGTCCATGGGTGACGTGGCCTCCCATTGGCTGCCTCGATGAGTCCATCCGGAGGCGCCCGCCTATTGGTTCGCCAAACGTCGCGTGTATGGTTGAGGTTACTGGGGAGAATACGTGTGATGATGTTGCTTATGATTAAGATTATCGTCATTATTATTATTGTCGGTGGTGAGGTATTGGTATTATCAGCATCAATTTCGTCACCATCATTAAATGGTGATGGCATCTCCCAACCAAACCGCAGTCTATGAAAAATTGGAATTTAAGTACCCGTATACAATATAGTACTGAAATATCCTTATCTTTATCTACATTTAGTAACCGCATACGACCTTGCCAAGTACACGTACCACCTAGACTAAAAAAAATACTTGTGATTCTTTGAGATAACAGATGGAAGATAGTTTGAGGACTTCTCCGTTCGTAGGCCATGTTTTAAAATTCTTTGCTAGTGTTGCAAATTTTAAACTTGCTTAAAAGTGTTTTCTATTGACACCCTTAATATGCTGGCGAGTTTTGCCCCATTTTTTTTGTATACATTTCGATGTGTTCTAGGTCTGATTATTGGTATTGCAATCACCTTACGTTTATGTTAATAATTTTAGCTGCGGCAAAGAACAGGTTATGTAGGACGAAAAAGCGATTGTTTTGTATATAAATTGACGCATTTCCTTCCTTTGCAGTCCCCTATCGTGAAGTCCTTCGTCGCAGGCTCCTTCTCGGGAACCTGCTCCACCATCCTCTTCCAGCCCCTGGACTTAGTCAAGACCCGCCTCCAGACCACCATCGCCATTCCGTGAGTCTCGAGAGAGTTTTGTGTCGAGGTGGGGGAAAAGGGGGTGGGAAATGAGAGGGAGGAAAGGAGAGAGGGGGGGAGAAAAGAGGGAGGGAGAGGGGAGAGAAAAGAGGGAGGAGAGGAGAGGGGAGAGAAAAGAGGGAGGAGAGAGGGGAGAGAAAAGTGTGAGGAGAGAGGGGAGAGAAAAGAGGGAGGAGAGGAGAGGGGAGAGAAAAGAGGGAGGAGAGGAGAGGGGAGAGAAAAGAGGGAGGAGAGGAGAGGGGAGAGAAAAGAGGGGAGAGGAGAGGGGAGAAGAAAAAGAGGGAGAGGAAGAGGAAGAGGGGAGAAGAAAGAGGGAGGAGAGGAGAGGGGAGAGAAAAGAGGGAGGAGAGGAGAGGGGAGAGAAAAGAGGGAGGAGAGGAGAGGGGAGAGAAAGAGGGAGAGGAGAGGGGAGAGGAGGGAGGAGAGGAGAGGGAGAAGAAAGAGGGAGGAAGCAGGAGATAGCAGAGGAGAGGGGAGAGAGGGAGAGGGGAAGAGGGAGGAGGAGGGAGGGGGAGAGAAAAGAGGGAGAGGAGAGGAGAGGAATAGGAGAGTTAGAAGAAGAGTGGAGAAGAGGAGAGGGAGAAGATGAGGGGAGAGAGAGAGAGAGGGAGAGGGAGAGGGGAGGGAGGAGGAGAGAGGAGAAGGACGGGAGAGACAGCAAGAAGAGCGATTTTATGTGGAGGACTGGAGGGAGGTAGGGAGGAGAGGGAAGTGAGGAAGGCGGGGAGACAAAGGTATTGAGGACGATGCTGGAGCTTCGCCGTGGGTGCCATTTTTGTTGGTCTTGAACTGAGAGAGAGGGAGAAGCGAGGGAGAAGGAAGATGAGATAGAGAGGGAAGGAGGTGTAAGAGAAAGGGGGGGGGGAGGGTTGTGTGAAAAGGGGGAGAGGTGGATAAGAGAGAGCAGGGGTGTAGGTGTGAGAGAGAGGGAGGGGAAGATGTGAGAGAGAATTGGAACTAAAACAAAGGAATTAGTTAGGGTTCCATCATATGTTTTAGGCCACAA